TGACAGCTCATAGGAAATTATTTCATAGAGCGAAAGGTTTTTCGAATGTTAATTGAAAAGCAAAATATATTTACTTTCCATTTCCAATCTAATAAGTCATCATAAATTTCAGGATCATCATTGTTAAGATATTATAGATTTCAGTAGCGAGGAACACCGGTTAAAAGATGCAAACATAGTGTGAGTCGCTGAGAACTTCCTTGGTTGCTTAAAGAAAAGTGAACAGAAAAGTACCTATGTGTTCTAGCAAGAAGTATGGTTATTAGTCACAAAGGGAAAGCATTGAATTAAAATAAATGATTATAAAATAGTATCAGGTTTTAGTCTATTATACGACTACTAACGAGATACGAGACTACGAGACTATACCCGGGTACGAGAACGAGTATACGAAAACCCCGGTCTCGCTCTCGGCCTCGTTACATACCTAATCGGTAATGGTAGCCGCAATCCTAGTAGCATTCCCGCTTCATTTCGTGGCAAGAATATAGCAGCCTCATCTTGCCGCGATTTTGACAAGAAATTTGAAACTTAACGCGAGATCGCTATCGCGATCGCACCTAACCTTGCTATTTTTCTCGTATAACCAAAATTTCATAATCTTGACGCGAAAGTGTTTTTGACGCGATCGCGCTGAAATCCTGCTAAGATCATAGGAAGATTGAAACGGGATTCGAACAAGATCGGGCAAAGGAAAAGTCTTCTCAAGATCTTGTCGCGAATTACACACGAACTTGCCAGAATCCTTCCGCGATCCCGTCACACTCTTGAAACACAAATCGAACGGGATCTCATAACGAACTTGATCAGGAACTTGATTACAATTACAAGATCGCGATTTTGTTTTGCCAAGATCAGCATTTTTTCGTTACACGGGAAAGAACCGCGTTCGCGATCAGATCTCAGCAAGAATGGAACAGAAATACCACTAGGGTAAGATGGGATATTCTTCCTTCTTCTTCCTTCCTGTTATTATCTTATTTTTTCGATGTTTTAAAGCTGATACATCTCGTATCATCTCGTAATCTTGCTAAGGATACTAATGATTGTTCTTTCAGCAGTAAATCAATAAAAGCGTAAATATTTGAATGTGATGAATTTACATGTTTTTTCATTCTTGAATGACGATCTTCCAAATAATTAATTGTTTGAGGAATTACATTATGATGATGATTATACATATGTAGTGGAAATTACTCAGATTTCCAGTATTCCTCGCCCCCTTAGCAACAGGACGTACTGAATAGTACTCATTTCAATTTGCTCAAACATTGTGAGTATTACTTAGACTCCCTGTAGGAAGAACGATCTTTAGCTAACTGGGACTACTTATTTGTATATCTTTTCCAAATTAACGGAAAGTAAATTCGACTACTTCTTAATTGAGACCATTAGCTTTTGTACTCACTCTCACTTTACTTTTCGCTCTCGGATATTTTTCTAATATCAATTAAGATTTTCACATTTTTTATCAAAAAAAGTGGTTTCAATTTAGAAGACTCGGTAAATCCCTATATATCAGACTGCTTAATTAGTATACATTTTTTATCCAATTATTGAAAAGTAAATTCATTGCAGTAAAAAATGCATATATCTCTACTTTTCTATAGGAAAAAAACTAATTAGAATAGAAAATAATCGATAAAAAGTATATCCTGTATACGATTAAAAATATATAATATTATTCACACAGTAATGTTTTTTCTCTTGTCAAAAAAATAGTATATTTATTTTTCTCTCTCTTCAAATTAACTAGTTTTAATTTTCCATAATCATAATATTTCTGCTTTTATAAAAAATCTAGAAACTATGAATCAAACGTTATGATCATTCATATTTTTTTTTTTATTATTGGAAGACAGAGAGAAAGAGAGAGTGAGAAAGAGACTATTTGTCCGATGTTAAGAGACTTCTAAAAAATTGAAAACAGTGCTACTATGGTTTTATTTTTGTCACCGTAGTCTTGAGAACATCTTTCTTTTATTTTATTCTATTTACATTATTGAAAAATAACAAAATGAAGAAAAAAAAAAAAAGAAGAATAGAATTGTTTTTTTCCAAAAACTGCAAGATGAAGAAGGTAAGAATAAGGAAAAAAAAGAAGAAAAAACATCCGTTAAATCAATCACTATTACAATTAGTTCATTAGTTGTTAGTCTTTCATTTTTTTTATTCCCTGAAAGGCGTGATTGAACATTGAAATAATTTAAAAAGGTACGAGACGATCTAAAAAATAATAATTTTCAATTATATGATGAACGAATAAACAAATTTCTTGTAACTATAAATTTCATTTATTTACTCGACTAACGAGGTAATAAGGTTTAAAAAAACGATTCAAATAGAATTCATTTTTATTTTTTTCTACAATATTTCTGAGTTTACTAAAAATATTATCTGTTACAAATAATCTATACACTGTGACAACTAAATATCGTTTTTTTATCTTTAATATTTCATATTTTCTTCTTGATTTTTCATTAGATTTAGATGATTGATTTAGTTTATACTTCTTAACTTTTAAGGACAAAATTTTTTTTTTTTTTTGTGCCACAGTAACAACAACATTGATTAACTAGGATTTTTCTTTTTCTCTACAATGTCAAAACATGTTTCAATTAATATAAAGTGGTAAAAGACACATTGAAAAGTCGAGAGAATAAGAGTCGAAAAATCGCTAAGAAAACAAACAAAATTTCTTTATATATAACTAACTAGATGAGTTTCTTTCTTATTCTTAAATTTTTTTTTTTTTTTTTTGTTTTAAGTACGAAATGTGAATAAAAGTAAAAAATTTTGAATAACTAGGAAAGTAGACTTTTAAAATATTTCGAAATTTTTTCAAAATAAAATACCTTGTCTACTTTTAATAATGATATATGTATTCAAAAGAAAGAACCAAAAAAAAGATTACTTTTTGTACAATTTTTTTTTTGATTATGATAGAAAGGAGTATAATAATTGTATCGTTGATGAGAATGATGAAAAAAAAAAAAAAAAAATTTATACTTGGAACTTAACATGTTCACTCTTGTAAACAATTGAGCTAAAAGAAATGTAAAAACATACAAATCTTACTACTACTGAAAGGCTTCTTTTATTTCCATTGTTGATATATGTGCACATGCCATTATTTGTAATGGAACTTCTTTCTCAACTTTTTTTCTCTTTACTATTTATATATAATGATGTTTTTTCTTCTTCTTTTTTTACTTTTGACATTAAGTATGAAATATACTTTTAGGAAGATCCGACTATTTTGTCAGATATTGAAATAATATTTTAAAATAATCTTTTCCTTTTTTTTTTTTTTATTTATTAGAAAACGATGATCAATAAATCAGAAACAACAGACTAGATAAGTTACTTTTTATCTTGAATAAAACTAGAGCTGAGAGATTTCTATCCATCTATCAGTAGTTCATAGAAAAAGATGAAGAATTATCACATAATCGTGAACTACATGTTATTTTAAGTTTTTAAAAAAACTTTTATTCTCTAAAAATGATGTAGAATTTTTCTAGCTATTTGCCTTCTATAATATCATCGTTGTATACTCAGAAAGATGACTTTGATACTGTTTTGTATCTGTAAAAATTCGTAATATAGGTGAAAAGGATTTAAAGAAACTAGAGGTGGAGACGTGTAGAATAACAGACTTTTAGTGACCTTCTGCTTTTTTTCTTGACTCACAATGGTGGCTAAATTTTGAATGGGCGATGTGAGTGGATGACAATGAGCAATATAGCAACACAAACAATAAATTCTAACAAAAATTATTTAAAAAGTCAATTTGTGTAATAATTCCATTTGTTTAAAACACTTATTGAGTAATAACAAGCGTTAATGCTATAAGGGAATTCTGTTAAACATATGATTTGAAAAAAATTCTTAAACTTTTACACAGCTTAATGTTTCGATTTGATAGCAGCCAAAAGGTCAATAGTACGTAGCATAAGTGTATTAAAAATGTTACATATAAGTAGTACTTCATCCATTTCAATGAGAAGTTTCAGATTTTCATAAACGACTTTCAGAATGATAGGTTATTCGATATAAATTACTTTGAGTGGAAAGTTTTATTTTAGATTAAATGACGCAGAAATATTGATTCCAGTAAAGTTATTTTGTAGAGATCCGTCTCCAATTACACCAGTCCTAAACTGAACTGATGTATAATTTGACAAGATTTCTTTATTAATACTTTAGATTGAATTCATACAATGAATTGGTCTCGTCATACAGTTGTTTATTTGATTGGACTACTGCTCCTTCTGGTACGTTCTAAGAATATAATATAATATAATATGAAGAGAAATCTTGGCGACAGTGACTAACATTTGTTAAGACTAAATGAGAATCTGTTTAGATCTTATTGATTTTTCACAAGATTCATTCACGATCCACTAGAAAGTTACCAACATCTTCTCCAGAGTACTGTTAACACCTATCCGAGTTCGAGTTTCACTCTACGAGCAAACGTTGGAGTGCATGTGAAATATGTTATATAAAAGACTTTTGAAATAGTTCCTGAAACATCTCTATAAAACAATGAGTGATTTGATATTCTCTGACGTTAACTTATGTATTGTACATTTCTTCGAGAGTGAAGTGTGATAGAGAACTGATTCAGTCGTTTTCAGTGTTCTTTAATATAGATATATGAGGACAAAAGTAGAGGGTAAATGAAAGCAGAGTCATAAAATGCTATTGAGCTGGCCTTGGACTATCTTATGGAGATCTAGACACGATAATTTAAGAAGTGCTGAAGATTCATACTAAGGCATCAATTATTGCTATGTAGAAGTCAAAAATAGTTTAAATTGAAAATATTGTTAGTCACAGATGAAAACAGCCTGGTTACAGCACCAAGATAGTCTGGTTAGTGTTGCATTACTCCTGTAAAGACAACAAAACCTCAGCAAACATCTACCCTGCACATCTCTAACTTCCAGTATATGCACTGTCTTGATTGTTTGTCTATGCATGCATATATGTTTAGGTCCGACCGTCGCAGCAGCAGTCCTCAGCATGTAATGTAACAATTACCGATGGTGCTAATGCAACACTCACACTCACTTGTGTAAGTGGAACAGTCTTGAATGAATTACCGATTTATTCATTTGATAGTATTACATTAAATCGAGTTTCAACAGCTATTATACAAGGAAGTAACATTAATCGTGGTCCGTTCCAGCACATTCCAATCAACATTTGTTTCCTTCAAAATCTTAATGTAAGTCTGTTGAATAAATGACTATTTTATAAAAATCATCTAAGCTCTTAAGTTTTTTAATATTTCGCCATTGATAAAATTATTTTAATCTCGAAAAGAGTAGTATCTTTCCTAGACTTTAATTTTACACTGAACTTTGACACAAATTTTGTATTTATTATAACAAAATAATTGAAAAAAATTTGTTAATTGAAGGAGGAATCGACTTATTGCATTTTACTATTCCAATTTGTCTAAAACTCACCATTTATTAGAAAATATCGATCTTTTTGAGCACTTTCGGATGGATAGTCTTCATATCAGCACAAGCTTCAGAGCTTTTTTTTGACACATCAAACGGTGTGTGAGTTACACACTAAAAAATAATGTGTCGCAAATCGCGACATAATCATCTGCGACACCGGGAGCCACTTGCGACACGTTTTTTCCATTGAGGCTGCGACACATTCCGCTGAGTATTTCTATTATAAAGAAAACAGTGGAAATTAGGTATTTTTGATCTCTTATTCGATTTTAAGAATATTTTTAGTTCGTTTGGGTGCACTACGTAATGTCAACGAGTTCAATCCGCCCGTAATATTCATAGGTCTTCAAAATATTCAGTTTCCCAGATCCGAGGTTAATAGTGTAGTCAAGGCCTCGGATTCGTTGGTTTCGTCAAAGAAAAAATGTTTAACATAGGAAAAAGGTTAAAAGGGCTTAGACAGGGATCTTTAGCCACGAATAACATCAATGCAAAATTGAAAGAACTTAAAAAGTCCGAAAATTTTCTTATCTTTTTCGTATTAGCGCCACCTATAGCTCATCAAAATTGAAGAGAAGCCGAGAAAAATTCTAATAAAGACTACTGAAAATAGTAAAACATAAAAATTAGGAAGTTTTTTAACAGAGTAGATCCTCAAACGGCTTCAAGAACTGTGTGTAAAAGCTCTTAGTAACGGCGACACATTCTTTTGCGACACAATTTTCTCACAGGAGCTGCGACACATTTTACTGCAACACAAAATGCGACACAATATTTTTTACTGTGTAGAGATTCTCTATTATTTCATAGGAAAAACAACGGTAAATAATTCTAGTAATCAATATGCAACTTAGAAAAATATTCCACGTTTGATCTAAAAAACTGATTACGAGTATTTTGTAGTAGTCAACTTCAACTATAGAGATGATATAAATGAAGGACAGTGCGTTCGTATGTAATATAAAGCTAAATGTTGGATGATTAGAGAAAAAATTCATTTTACGATTATGAAAATCTCTTTTCGATCTGATTTTCTCAAATATATCCATTTATGTGTGCTTAAAAGAATCGACATTATCTAATAAATGATGACTTTTAGAAATTGGAACGGTTAAATGTGATAGATCAACTTCAACTCTTATGCCTCTATTGATATTAATTTGATTCCACATTGTAGACTTTAATTATGTCGTACAACAATATTCAAGATGTTGATCCGACCGTCATCAGGAAAAATAGTCCACAATGTTTATCTAACCTCGAAACACTCGATTTGAGTTTTAATATGATCAATGAACTTCCATCTTCGTTATTTCAAAATATATCAGGACTTAGTAATTTGTATTTTCAACACAATAATTTAACTGATGTCCCGTACACTGTATTTTCTGATGTCTCAGATTTAGAAGATATTGATTTTAGTTATAATCAATTGACTACCTTTGAATTATGGGCTCTACAAGTTCAAAATACTGCCAATTTTAGTTTTAATAATATATCGGCTATTACGAATAAGTACAATGTCGATCTATCGTCATACGTTTATCCAACGAATTTCGCGGGTTATATTAAAGCTGATTTATCAAATAATATGCAAATCAATTTAACTGATGCTGTCTATGAAATGTACAATTTATGTCTTGAACCTCAATTGGTTACAGAAGCTAGTGACTTTTATCCAAGTATGGCAGCTGCAATAATGAGCATATCCTTTGGTACAACGCTAGTTAACTGTAATTGCGATCAATATGAATTGGTTCTAGCAATGCTGTATATAAATGGCGGCACTAATATAAGTTCACACTGGCCTATATCAAACCTAAAATGCACCGATATGAGTACACATTTGGAGTTTGGATGCAACTTAGACTATTCAACTGTTAATTTTACGAATACGTATCCAAGATTGTGCAAAATAGATAATTCTGAAACTGGAATAGTCCCTATTTTAGCACCGATACAAAACATTAACACAACTACGGTAAGACCTAATAAATAATTAATAAAATTGATTGCTCCCAAAAGATTGCATATTTTGAAGGCAGATGCTGTAACAAGTTGATTTACGGTATGGCGATATATTCTGCTAGTAAATGAGCTCTAAAAGTCTCTAAATGATAGAGACAGTAATGTTGTGAGGCAGCTCACGATCGTTTTAAAGTCTGATAAGATTGAGATAATTTCCTTATTTTACTTATCAATATGTAAGGGTAACTAGTTATTTACTAATTACCCGTTGATAATAGTAAAGTGCCGTTTATTGGGGTACCGGTAAAAACTCTTTACCGAAAATACAAATTGTAGAAGTAGCGGTAAAAAGTACTTACTGTTACTGATCAATTGTTTTACAGAAGTTTATTCTTAACTATAGTCATTTTCTGTTGACGAATCCTTTCTTGTAATTCAGAAAAGCTTTGCGTATGAGATTATAATGACAAAAGTTTAGCACTTAGCCTGGTTTGGATTTTTATCAACCAAGAAGATACGAGTAGTCTAGTAAAAAGTCAAAATACCCGCGACCTTTTTCCAAGTCTTTCTTAAACAACAACGTGTAGTAGAAAAACATCGAAGCGGCAAATAGAGAATTCTTTTCTGTCGGGTTATAACGACTAGAACAAAAGCTAGGCTATCAAATCATTAGGGCGAAGTAGGCACTCAATAATAAAATTCCCGCCGAACCTGTTCAACCATTTGAAGGATTGAGTTTATTAATACACTCACATGTAGATGAGCCAAGGTTGACGCAGAGCAGAAAAACAGGTTTTAACACACCTGTTTTGGTTCGGCGGAAACTTTTTTATAGGGCACCTACTTCGTCCTAATGATTTAATAGTCTAGCTTTTGTTCAGTCACTATAATCCGGCAGAAGCAAATTCCCTTTTGATTTCTTTGATATTTTTCCCCACAAGTTGATATGCTCTATCCGTTAGAGTATTTCGAATTTTCGCACGGATTAGTATTTCGAGTGGATGTTTTTTAAAAAAGTCTAGGAAAAAGGTCGCGGGCGTTGTGACTATTTTCAATCTAACATGAGCCCATATGTGTTCAAATGCCATCCAAAGCATATATTTCCAAGCTTCTAGATTGTCACGATTAATTTCTTATCGAATTCGGCTAGGTATTTTGAAAAAATTTTTTTATCACCTCAATATTGTGGAGGAACAGGGCGAATGGTATCCTTTCATATAGAAATTTTTTTTCATGATCCCATTGACTTTTTTTTACTTGTATGTAATCCGTTAGAAGCGGAGCGATAAAATAAATCAAAATCTTACACTAATACTAGTTTTGTCCCAAAGGGAATTTTCTTTTGGAAGTAGACGAATAATTTTTCACCGTTAAAAAATGACATTTTTTTAATATTTTTCTTTTAAAATCAAAACAAAATGAAAATAAATGCTAAGAATACTTACATATAGACTAGATATGGTGCTCTACACGATGGTGAAAATCCGGTGTTTCTACCGTGTATAGTTTACAAATGTCAAATAAAAAAAATGATAGTGTGGACGAATAATTTGTCGACGCACTGTCTGTATATAAAAAAAGATGTTTAGTATGAGTGATGTTGAATGAACGTGTCGTATGTTGTCTTCAGCATATGTTATTTGTCCTTTTAGCCAGCATATCCACTTTACTTTCAACGAAATGTTGCTAATGGTTACTGCCTGTTTAATTTGGTAAGTATAAATGAAGCAGCCGTTCAGTGCACAAATGATACAAATCCAATTACGATACCAAATGATTTAACTGGTTATTTTACAAACGTGACAAAACTAGATTTTACAAACTTCTCTCTCAGTACTCTTCCTGCGTATGTTTGTTCATTAAAACTGACTCAGATTGATTTAAGCAATCAATTATTTACTCAACTGACTGATTCTACGTTTCCATGTCTCGACCAATTTCAATATATTTCATTGGCTGACAACAATATTAATACAGTTAGTATAACAAATAATAATTTCGCTACTCTAACTACGCTTGATTTAAGTGGTAATGACCTGGTCGCACCTCCATATACTTTATTATCGTCATCATTGCCTTTGAAAAATATTAATTTACAAGATAATCTTATCACCTCAATGGATCTATGGTTATACGCATTTGGAAGTTCAATCGATTTAACAGATAATCCAATGACCAATACTATTACAAATTATCAAAATATAACATTATCATCTAGCGTTAGTATTGCCTCAAATATCTCATTACCGTCGTCAACCTTCATAATTGATGATTCGATAAGCGCGATGTATGGAATATGTAATGTTACTAATATTCCATTGTTTCGTAGCTTTCTTCAAGCCTTAGATCAAAGTTCGACAGTAACTATCTTAGTAAACTGCACATGTGCATCAATTCATCTTAAGAATCTATATCCGAATATCACCAACGATTTCAGTTGTTCAAATTCAAGTGATAACAATACGTTTTTGAATCTACAATCGTATAATTGTACCAACACAAATGTTATAACAACTGGTTTATGTACCTTTCAGAATTTGGTAAGTGTGAAGATTTGTTTGTAGTTGTAGAGAGAAAAAAATATACAAAGTTTCCTTTTACTTCGAAACAATTTATTACATATTTAAAAAATCCGAAATAAGTAATTAAATGATAACGATTTTTGTTCTGTGCTGAGATACCGCCATTTACTCTAATTATTACTATGTAACCTGTATTACTAACAGCTCCCATTTAATACAGCATAGGATTAACGAGACGGACATCTTTCGAGAAGAAACTTGGCCGGAAGGCAAGATCACTGATATGCCAGGTATATTATTCTGGTGGATTAAATATTAATCTACAAGCATCTATCTGCTCAGACATTTATAACATACATAACTAGTGAATAAAAACAAAAAAACAACTCCTTAAAAAGTTATTATTCACATAATAATTTAATAATATACAGATTCACTAACCAAAAATTGAAAACTGTTAATATATATATATATATAATCTTTCTCTAAACATTTTTACAGCATACGATTTAATCTATTTAAATGAAAATGCTCATCTTTTTTTAATGCAGAATCGTATTGTGTGAATCCCAGTTTCAAATATTTTTTGCTAGTAACGATAAATCGCAGACAAGAGCTAAAATGTAATTAACAAAAATCCATCCGCCCACTAACCAAAGTTCAGCGAGCTTATTTTCTGCTTAAAGTGTTATAATTTATCTCTAAAACACATTGACTGTTTTTCAATTGCCCTTTGTTTCCTGAATGAGTTTAGACTTCACCTACTACACAAGCAGCTACAACGACCACTATGACATACACTACTAGCACATCTGCTACACTGTCCTCGACGAATTTAATGGTAAGTAGTACAGACATTTCACCAACGACACTTACAAATGATGAAGAAATGAGTTCATTGCTCACTTCATTAATTGTAGTCACAATTTCAATGACTATAACATCAGAATTGATGACTATTACGTTAGCAGTAGGTGTAAACCTAACCTCGATAATGTCAGCAGCAAATTCTATAAATGTCAATATTTCAAACGTAGTAATTTCATCGATCTACTGATTTTTCACAAGATTCATTCACGATCCACTAGAAAGTTACCAACATCTTCTCCAGAGTACTGTTAACACCTATCCGAGTTCGAGTTTCACTCTACGAGCAAACGTTGGAGTGCATGTGAAATATG